CCACTGCTGTGTAACTCTAAACAAATGAGAAACAACCCAAAATAGAACATTAATGCATGCAACTTTTGAACTAATTTAAGGATAATCAATTAAGGCTTTTTCTTCATTTTGCCCTTTTCTAACATGAAAAACAATTAAAATTAATTAAGAAAATTTCAAATTCTTACTTGGAACTACAAAAGGAACTTCAGTAGCGGTGATTTTGATGGTTTGGATACTTTTTGAATTGCATTTCCTAAATGGATAAATAATTTTTTAAACCTTTCAATATCAGAGGAAATGACCAAATATTTGGCCAATGATGAAAAGCTTGAACAACCAATATGGGATAACTCAAATGTAGGGAAGAAGACTTAGTTAAAACTACGACACCAAAAATCGAGTCGAGATTCCCACCAAAACCAATGCTTGAAACTTGAATTATATAGCATTATCATTCAAATTACCGTAAAAAGTTTGTTGAGATTGCCACTATAAAAGTATTGCATTAGAATGGACATAAATAGACATAAATAGCTTAAGAAACTATAAAAAACTATAACATTAAAACTTAATGGAATTAAAAACAATAATAGTATATTCTACATGAGTTTATCAAATTTCATATATTCGTTAAAATAATGAAAACGACTTAACAAGTGAGTCTTCCTCACTAACCAAAGAAACAAAATGTAACAAAGTCGAAAAATCAATATCTACACACCTAAACTAAACAAAACATGTGTTAAATGGTATTGTAATTCTTAAGATTCCGTTTGGTTCCTAAGAACATGTCCTAGAAAAGTAACAAGAAAAGTATGACTTGAAGTTACAAAAATTTCACTCATTTAGCTTAAGTTTAGCTCAACCCTTCCTAGTTTTCCCTTTAAAAAAAGGTTTTTAAAAAAGTAGAAGAAAAAATTATATCACTCATTATAAACACTTTTTAGTGTTGATCAGGGGAAAATGGAAGACCTTGACTCAATCGGAAAGTGAAGGAAAGAGGTTTTGGCTTTTGAGACTATAGAACAAGAAATAAATAAAAACGTTAGAGAAAATCAAAGAAAAGAGCTTTTGGCTTTTTAGAGCAAGCGCGAGGGTGGATGAGAAATAAGAAGAAAATGCGAATGGGAAATGTTTACGCTTTTTAAAAGAAAATGAAATAAGAAAGAGAAAGTGCATTGTTTTAATAAAAAAATAATTGTTTGAAAGATTTTAAAATGCAGAGTGGAGTTTGTTAAGAATAATGGAATACTAATTTTTTCTTCGATCTCTTTGGGATTTGACTTTTTTTAAAATGATTGAAACTGCTGGTTATGTTTTCCTGTGTATGCGTGCTCATGGTAGCCATCATTGGTTTTCTCCTTCGATATTTGCCGCGGGTGGGGTTGGTGGAATCTTAGACATCTTTCTTGGTTTTATGTAAAATCATTCCAATGCTTACACCTAGCTCGTTAACCTACAATTGCAATGCCAAACAATATAAAAATTCTAACAAAAATTCCAATTTATCACCAATAATTTGAAAGAATCACATAAGCAAAACTTCTAATGACGATCTTTAGTGTAAAATTAATTATATATTTATAATTTAAATTTAAATTTTATTAAATATTATTTTTAAAAATAATTGCATAAAATAATTTAATTTTAATTTTCTTTACAATCTATAATTGAATGAAATATTATTAAATCAAAATGGAAAAATACAAATATGCCCTTATTTATTTTTTATTTTTTTGTCAAAAAATTAAATATTTATCAAATTTTCAAATTTGTCAAACAATAATATGATCATATAGTTGATATGTAAATTTAATTGCTTTTAAAGTAGTACTAGTATAGTTTTATTTTATAAATTGTAAAATATTCTTTGAGATTATTTTATTTTATAGTTAGTAAATGAATGATTTTAAGATTCTTTTAGCAAAAATAAAAAAAAATTAAGAAGAGCTTATGGCCTTTGCATGAAAGTGCTGGCATTGTACGATTTTTCTAAGAAAGCAAAAAGTATTGAGGAAGGCAAACTGTGTGAATCACGTAGGTGATTTTGTTGCATAGCAGATGGAAAAACTAAAAACTCAGCCAGCAGAGTCCTCGAAGGCCACATTGGAGTGGGTGTGGCCCAATTTAAAGCTTTCTGGCATTTTAGGTTTCCCTACTCCTACATGTCTTCTCTTGCCTTCCAGTGAACAGTTGGTAGGTTGGTTTTCCCTTCTCTCATTTCTTGCCTCTTCCCCTACCGTTTAGCTTGTTTCAAGTAGGGGTTTGCATAATTAAGTTTTAATCGAATTAATCAATCGAATTGACTTAATTCAATTAATCGATAGGTTATTGAATTAATTTCGATCAATTAATGAAAATAATTTTAGAAAAATTTTGGTTTCGGTTAATGCAGTTCGAAAATCGAATTAACCGAATTATCCAAAATTTTAACCGAAATATAACATAATCCAATTGTAAAATGGGTTATCTTCCTCTAAAGAGCTTAAAGTCCCATTCTCTTTGATTATTCAAAAACTACACTTGAGAGGCTTTTCAACCATTCATGGCTCAACTTCTAATTTCTTCTACGTTGATTGTAGCAATTTTCTCAATACACCATCATTGCTGTTGCTAGATAGATTTGATGATTCATATATTCGTATAGTGTAAAATATTAAAATTTATATATTCGTATAATATTTTATATGAAAATTGCATTTTATAATTCATATCGATAAAAAAATAAAAAATATATATTTTGTTTGGTTAAATCCATATATAGTTATTACTAAAATTTCAAATCAGGTCACATTCGCATTCTTTTTCATATCATGTTCATGCTATTGTTTAAATTATCAGGCCTACTACCAGGCTACCTAAACTATTTTCACTAAAAATGCATTATCTCTACTTAGGAAACTCAGTTTTTAATTTCAATTAACGTGTAATAAACTAGACTCGATAATCTTTACAAAAATTTATGTGTTCAACTTGTTTATCGGCAGCCTTTACATATATACATATATAAATACATACATACGTACATATACATAATCTATCTAAATTTTTTATACCAACCTCTATGTTTTCAAATTTGGTAAGTTGATTTCATAATCAATTAATAGAATTCTAAGGTAGTTTTAATGTTTTTTTTTTAAGACAATCCTTAAATGTCCATGGTCTACCAATGACTTGAATATACCTCCCACACATTTTCAAGTCAATCATATAATTTTTTAATGCTTTAATTTTGTTACCTGGGATATTCAAAGTACTGTTAGATTTTAAATATCTAAAACTTATTGGGACTTGCTGAAATTATAGCCCATATACTATAAATTTTAGAACATTAATCTCTAAAAAAAAATAATAATTTTACATAAAATAATTGTTGATGGTGTTTTCTGATGTCTTAGCTAAAAGTAAAGAAATGAGGTTGAAAAGAAAGATAGTTGTAACTTGTAACTTGAAAGCACGGATAAAAAACATCAAAGTTATTACTCCAAGGCGCATTTCGATTCTCAAGTCAGTGTATTGCCTGAGGTGGTTTTAGGAAGTAAGGTCAAGAAGATGAAAAAAATGGTGAAGTATGTAGGAGAAGTTATCTTAGAGAGACAGATATAGGTCCTTTCTTGTTAAGGCGAGAAAGATGGAAAATGATGAAGTGTGTGAGAGAAGTTAGCTTAGAGAAAGAATCTAAAGAGAGAGATATAGGTCATATCTTGTTGTGGTGTATCTGATTTTCCTTTACCTTTTATGTGAGACAAAAGATGTAATCTGACTGAGACGATTGATAGTTGAGAGGATATTTGTATGGAGTTCGAAGGGGGTTCATATATATGGATGAAAATTGAATTTAATGATCCCAGGTAGGCGTAGGCTCCATTTAATGATTTTGAGGTGAAATTTAATGATCTAGGGCAAGTTGATAGCCTATTGGCCAATTTTTGAAGTGACTGCCTTGATAAGCCATAGGTGGGACCTCAAGCAAGCCTTTCCTTGGTAGGTGGTAAGCTATCTCCTTAGAGCAAGTGAGGTGACTATTTAGGTGTGCCTTGATTAGGCAATTCGGGGGTCTTGATTCGTTGACCAATTGACTTAGGTATAACAAATGGAAATCTTTAACATTAAAAAATAATTGTACCTTTAAGTTTATGAATGCATTTGAGGATTTAGGAGGCACAACTATCACAAGGACAAGCAACTTTCAAAACAACGATTAAGAAACCTTTTTCCTTCTTTTCTCCATTCTTTGCTTACTTGTTTTCATTCTTTTTCTATGTTTATGATGTCTTAGCTAAGAGGAAGGAGATGAGGTTGAAAGGAAAGACAACTATAACTTGCAACCGAAAAGTACAATCAAAGGATGCTGGGTGCCATCTAATGCTTAAGTGAGTGCGCTATCTGAGGTGAGTTTAGGAAGTAAGGTTAGGAAAATTGAAAAATGGTGAAGTGTGTAGGAAAAGCTATTTTAGAGAGAGAATCGAGAGAAAGAGATATAGGTCCTCCTTTATTGTGGTGTACTTGGTTTTCTTCGTGTGAAACAAAAGGTGATGATTTAACTGAAAGGATTGATAATTAAGAAGATGTCTATGTGAAGCTCAAAAAGAGCCAACATAAATGGATAAAAATTATATTTAATGATCTTAGATATGCATATACTACATTTAATGATTTCAAATAATCGTAGACTGTATTTAATAAGTAAGAGCAAATTGATAGATTATTGGCCAAATTTAAAGTGATTGCATTAATAAGCTATTGGTAGGGGCTCGCCTAAGTCCTTACTTTAGTAGGTAGTGGTTGTGTCCTTAAAGGAGGTGACGTGGTTATTTGAACGCATTTTGATTAAGTGATCTATGAACCTTAATGCATTGACCTTTAGGTATAACAATAATAGCACGGGGTATCAGATCGAATGAACAGCCTAGCTTGGACACCCTGATTATGTTTCAAGTATTCGATGTTCTCAATGTTTTCATTAAAAATAAAATGAGACAATGATAGCCGTGGATGGTGATTAGGCTGAGGTGGAACCGTGGAAGTCAATCCTATCGATGACCGGCCTTTCAAGTTAAAATACAAAAATGAATGGGAGAGGCTGTTTAAGCGGACACGCTGTCGTTTATTTCTTCTCTCCGCTTCTCTGCTGCTGCCCCGTCTCTCCGTGAGCCTCTCTCTCTATTTCTTTTTCTTTTTCGTTTCTCGCCTCTGTCTCGCACTTCACTTTGTTTTGCAAACTGCAAATCAGATCTACTCTACACCCATCAAATCAATTTCATTAATCATTGAAAATTTGCACATGATTTGTTTCCTTTCTCTTCTCTAATAGACTATTTATTTATTCAATTGTTCCAGGTTTACAAGGTTGGACAAACAAGGCTATCACGAGCAATTGGAGTAAGCGTCTTTCCCCACTAATGAATGATGCTTTTGTTTGTTATTTGTTGAAATGCCAATTTTTCTTGTACCAATATGGATTTTCTTTTGCCTTTTGGGGCATTACATGGGTAGAATTAGATTGATGAACTGAGAATAAAGGGGTTTTGAAATAAAAGGGAATTGGATTGATTGATATGAACTAATTTCTCGCTGTTTAAGTAGTTTATATGTATTCAAGGCAATGGCTTTCAGTCCATGGTAATTACTTTGGAACACTCAAGTCATCGGAAACTTTTCCCAAACTGGCTTCTCGATTCCCTCATATGTTGCATATATATGCCAATTTAATTGAAGCTTTAATTCTGTCTTATGACCATTGCAAAGGAAGAATATAGTGATTTCAATCACGAATTGACTTGGTTCATAGAATGGAATCGAAACACATGGTTCTATTAAAAACTCAATGAATTTGGTATGATGGGTAGTCTTTTTTATTTTCTTCTACAAGAATCAACATATATAGTTATATATATTGGTGTGCTATTTAGTTAAATTTTGTGAAATCAATGTAGTTAATATTAGTTTAGGTCTTTGAATGCAAAATTCAGATGTTCCAACCCAACCCAAGTTATATTTTAGTTAAATTTTGAAAATCCTTTAGTTGCCCCACAATAAAAATTTAATAACTCAAAAATTTTTAAATTATCTTTTAGTTGAGAACAAATGAGATTCTTTTGGTCTTTAGGTTTCTTTCTACAATTTCTTTTACATCATGCCACCGTTAGCAGCACAATGTTCATTTTTTCTCTAACTCCTTCCCAAAAGGTACAGCTTCTGGCCTACAAGTTCAAATTTTTAGAAAGAAATGACCTAATAGCTCAAATGACTTATTTCTTAAAAAAGGAGTTGAAGAAACCTACTAAAATAGCAAAGATGGAGCGGAGAAAGTCTACACCAGGGAGACCTTCCGGTACAGACGGTTCAGATTTCTCGTATCGGATGGTTGTCGATTCGCGTATGCTCCTACCTCTTGTTATTCTTCTTTTATACTTTTAGTTTTAATCTTAGTGCATCTGTTATGTTATTAATCAATTTCTTTGTCTTCTTCCACCTAATTTTGAAACACTTTGATTGATGTCTTTATTTGTCGGATTATTTACTTTATTTGATGTTAACCTTTAGGATATCAAAAAGTAGCTCGTACGAAGTCTATTCTGCATTCATTTTTCGTAGTTCAGGTATGGTACTCTTTTATTTTCTATAAAATCAACTATCCGCTTTTGTTACCTTGGGTTTGACTCAAGTGTTATGGAAACCATTATTTTCTTATCTTTTAGAAGCATCAGCCTGCCTAGGTTTTTATTTACCTTGATAGCATTCTTTATTACAGGCCATCACACTTTTGGTAGGACTGTGTTTGCTAATATTTCATTCAGTGTCAGAGGATTTGGCTTACCGTGGGCTTGAAATTTCAGTTACTGCTTGTGGTCTTGTTTCTTTGATAATAGGAGAATTAGGTTACTTGCTAACTCCCATGTTTCTCTATAATTCTGTATGAGGTTGGCATTTGTTTAATTTAATGCTAGACCTTTGTTGTTTGTTTAAGGTCGGAAGCGCAGTCGAGTGAATGTGTTGAGACTTTTTATGGCCACTTCATCTATTGTTGTCTCATTCTTGATATATTGCACCCTTAAGAAGTATTCAACATTCAGAGTAAGGAGTTTACTTTTTTTTGGGTTTAAAAAATATCTTTGTTTTCATCACATTTTTTAAAAATAAAAAAGTAAATTCTAGAGTACATTTATGTTGTTAGCATTGATTATTACTTTATTCTTTACCTCCAGAAAATTGATTTCACCAAATTAAGAGAAAAAATAGAAAGAAAGAAATGATAATGTGATAGACTATGAAAAATTGCAAAATGAGACAAATCCGTGGTATGGGTAGATATAAATAACTGAAAGTAAAGAACATGAAGGAAGAAATAAAACAATGGGGTTTTATGAATAAATAACTTAATGAATGGTATACAAAAGTAGATCTAGTTTTTTTTAATAGCCTTTGGAAGGCATTAAATTCCTCCTCATGCAAGGTCCTAATAATTATCGTGTTGAATTTGTAAAATTATCTCTATAAATGTTACTATTAGTAGAAAAGAGAGAAAAAAAAATTAATTTCAGTTCTGATATTTTAAGAGATGAACCCTATTATGATCTATTGGTTGTTTATGTCTTTTGCTAATAGATTACCAATAGCCCAAGTTACTGGGAAACAGTCATAGAACTTCCTGAAGTGGCCCTTGCTCTAGTGGGTGAGTTCTTCTTGTGTTGGTAATTTTAAATTTTCTTGAAGTTTTACGATACTGATGACAATGTTTTTTTTTTTTTTTTTCAATTATTATTCTTTTTGCAGGACTAGTGTTTCATGTATTTATCATTGGCTACACAATTCATCTCATTGCCAACATGTCTCCCCCTAAGAGAGCTTCATAGCAGTATGCATATAGTCTGGTCGTAATATGTATACAGGCCGATCATAAATTCATAAATCAGGAAAGAAAACTTTGCTGTTTTATTCATTGTCATAAACTTCATAAATCAGGAAAGATTGCCAATTAACTTTTTTTCTTTTGTAGTTTTTAAATTAGATCTTTGGATCTTTTTTTTTTGGGTTAAGCATGAGATGGAAAGATCTATTGTTGCATGAGAATGTTAATGTTAACCTTGAGAAGAGTGTTTTCTATCTCTTGATCATGTATTCTGCTTCCAACACCCACAAGTACTATAGTTACATATTTTTAACTTTTTCATAGCACTCATAAATGTTAAATCTTTGCCAGGATGATGTGATTCCATTATGAGTTAAATAAATGGTGCTTAATCTATTGAATTAAGAGATGGGAGTCCATCTATTGGGAGAAAAACCATGAGTTTAAGTGTTTTTTTTTTTCTTGAAATAGAAGATAATGGAATCACAGCAATTATGTTCTGATCATGTTTCGATTAGTAAATACATAGCAAAATTTCTAAAAGGACACTTTAAACTTAAAACCTTGTTTTCCTAAAAAAACCGCTCCCTTCTTTTTTTAATGGGTCAAGGAGGTTTCAAATCGAATTTATTTCTCAAAATGTGTATTGAGTCTTAATATGGAGTCAAGGTATTGTTTTAAAAAAATTCGAATTTGTTCTATAAAAAGAGTCAAACATTGGCGTGTGGTTTTAAATAAAATCGAGCCTTTGTATAAAATTATGGTATTGTTTTCAAAAAATCGAATTGATTTTTTGAATTGAGTCTAACCTTGGCATAAAGGCAAGTAGGTTTCAAATTGAACTCATTTTTAAGATGATACAAGATACTGTTTTTCAAAAAGTTAAATTCGTTTTGAAAATGAATCAAGCCTTGATGTCAAGTAGTTATCGCTTTCACAAAGTCAAATTTGTTTTCTAAAATGAATTAGACCTTAGCAGTTAGCATGAGGGCAAGGATGTTTCAAATGGAATTCAAATTTTTAAAGTAGATCGAGCCTTTGTATAAAGTCAAGGTATTGTTTTCAAAAAGTCGAATTTGTTTTTTAAAATGAATCAAACCTTAGCATGGGTCAAGAAGGTTTTAAATTGAAACTTTTTTTTTTAAATAGATCATTCCATGCTTAAAGACAAATCATAGGTAATCGTTGCCCACTCAAGAGACAACATGGAATGTGCAAGAATGGCGTAAAGAAATTGGAGTTGAAAAATTCAGTTGCTTGCTTGGCAATGAGATGGGAGCCCATTGATGCAAGCAAAACATCTAATTAGCTGCTACATTTGTTGCCGAAAGGAGGAGCTACTAGCTGTGTTGCAAGTTGTCCACGTTTGCATCCAATTTGTCTCCACTGTATGAATCATGTACTCTTCAAAATGGGGTAGAAAATCATCTACTACCTTGGTAGATAGAACCTGAAAATGATGCACAAAGAGTGAAAAATTTTAGGCTGCTTACTTGGCATTTTTATGCACCTTTTTGGCCATTGGATGACAATTAGATAAGGAGAAAAATGTCAAATTTTTTGCATTGCATGAAAGGAAGCCAGCTGTCCCAAATTGTGGCTGAGAGTTTTTGAAAGAAGAACCAAGCTGGGACGTCGCTGCTTGCTATCACAAGTTGAACTCCAACATTTTTCATTTTGGTTTATACAATTTGTTTGATTGAGGTGCTGACTTCTTGCCATGCCATTGGTGCATGAAATGAAAGAAATTCAACTGTAACTAGAAAAGGACAAAGCAAGTTGAAAACGTGATTGGTCCTCTCTAAAAATGACGTCTGTCTATTGCATGTCGGTTTTGAGGAGTTTTGGGGCCAATTTTGTAAAAATGACTTGAAATTTTCCTCATCTTTTTGGATGGCAAGAGTGCACAAGGGATCCATACAAGAACTTGGAAATAGGAGCAAACCATGGATTGCCAGTTATTACCAATATTGCCAGATTTTTTCTTTTGTGTTGCTTTTAATTTTTAAGATTTTGAAAAGACTTTAGTTGCAAAAATTAGAAGGCACATAAGCATACAAATGAGGAATAAGTTTGAATGGCAATGACACATGAAAAAGAGGTAGAGTGCATGAAAATGGGCACATGAAAATTTAAACTTAGTAAAGACCAAAATTTGGAGCTCTTCAAGCTTCCAAGTCATAACTTCTTGAAAACTGGTAACAATGGGAAATGTTCATGCACCACATTCCCATTTTCATACATTTTACCTCTTTTTTATGTGCCACTGTCATTCAAATTTATTCCTCATTTGTATGCTTATGTGCCTTCTAATTTTTGCAACAAAAGCTTTTCCAAAATTTCAAAAATTAAAAGCAACACAAACAAAAAAATTTGGCAGCATTGGGTAATAGCTGACAGTCTATGATTCGCTCCTTTTTACAAGTTCTTATGTGGATCCTTGTGCACTTTTGCCATCCTATGCGATGAGGAAAATTCTAAGTCATCTTTACAGAATTGGCCCCAAAATTTTCCCTCAAACGATGACATGCAGTAGCCAAACATCATTTTCTGGGGAGGACTAGTCACATTTTCAACTAACTTTGTCCTTTTTTTATTGTAGTTGAATTTTTTTCATTTCATGCACTAATGGCATGGCAAGAAATGACCAAGTTAGCACCTCAATCAAGCAAATTGTGTATGCCAAAATGAAAAATCATAGAGTTTAACTTGTGACAGTAAGCAACGGCATCCTAATTGGGTTCTTCTTTCAAAAACTCTCGGCACAATTTAGGGTAGCTAGTTTTCTTTCATGCAATGCAAATAATTTGGCATTTTTCTCCGTATATAACTGTCATCCAATGGCCAATAAAGGTGTATGAAAATGCCAAGTAAGCAGCCTAAAATTTTTCACTTCTTATGCATCATTTTCAGGTTCTATCTACCAAGGTAGTAGCTGATTTTGTCTCCCATTTTGGAAAGTACACGGCTGTATATAGTGAAGGCAAATTGGATGCAGACATTGATAGCTTGCAACATAGTTGGTAGCTTTTCTTTTTGGTAGCAAATGTAGCAGCTGATTAGGTGTGTCACATACACTAATGGGCTTCCATCTTATTGCCAAGCAAGCAGTTGAATTTTTCAACTCTAATTTCTTTACACCATTCTTACACATTCCAGGTTGTCTCTTGAGTGGGCAATGATTACCTGTAATTTGTCTTTAAGCAGGGAATGATCCATTTAAAAAAAAAGAGTTCAATTTAAAACCTTCTTGACCCATGCTAAGGTTTGACTCATTTTAAAAAACAAATTCGACTTTTTTAAAACAATACCTTGACTTTACATAAAGGTTCAATCTATTTTAAAAAATGAATTCCGTTTGAAACCTCTTTGCCCTTATGCTAACTGCTAAAGTTCGATTCATTTTAGAAAACAAATTTGACTTTTTGAAAATGATAACTTAACTTGATATCAAGGCTCGATTCATTTTGAAAACGAATTCAACTTTTTGAAAGACAATATCTTGACTCCATACCAAGGTTGGACCGATCTTAAAAAATGATTGAATTTGAAACCTACTTGCCTTTATGCCAAGGTTAGATTCAATTCAAAAAATAAATCTGACTTTTTGAAAATAATATCATAATTTTATATAAAGGCTCAATTTTATTTAAAACCTCCTTGCCCTATGGGAATGTTTGACTTTTTTTATAGAATAAATTCGAATTTAAAAAAAAAATACCTTGATCCCATATCAAGGCTTAATACATTTTAAAAAATAAATTTGATTTGAAACCTCCTTGCTGCATGCCAAGGTTTGATTAGAAAATAATAATAATAATAATAATAATAATAATAATAATATAATATTATTATTATTATTATTATTATTATTATTATTATTAAAAGGGAGTCTTTTTTTGGTAAAACAAGGTTTCAAGTTTAAGGTGTCCTTTTAGAAATTTTGCTACGTATTTACTAAAAGAAACATGATCAAAACATAATTACTTGTGATTCCATTATCTTCCATTCCAAGAAAAAAAAAAAACATAATTGCTTGTTCCCCATAACCTGGGCCTCCAGTAGGCCTCATGGCCTGGTCTTTTTAACTGTCAGACCTTGCCTCACTAGAACCTTTAGGTGTGGACTAGCTTACGAACCATGACACATGTACATCCCTCGACCACTATTGGGACAAGTTAGCCCTTGGTTTTCGCATATGCTTCGACCGCTATAGGCATATGCTGGCCCTTTGTATGGGCAATATTTGGGCTCAGGCTACTTATCATGCACATCATGGCTGGGCAGTGTGTAGGTTTAGGCACATCTTTATATTTCTATTGTGCTAATGCCATTTTTATGGCTTGTAAATTCATATAAGCGCTCACCAGCACCTACACCTGGGCTTGTCTCAATTTTGTTGAACATGAACACCATGCTTGAGCCTTTTGAGTCTCGATCACTACCCATACAACTGTTTCGAGCTAGTTCCCTGTGACCCAGGCCTTGAATAGGCCTCAAGGCCTGGTTCCCCTAGCTATTAGACCCTATCCCGTTAGAACCCTTAGACTTGGACTAGCTTGCTGCCTGTGACACATGTGTCACACCCTGGGCGAGCGCGCCAGGCACATCAAGTGCACCAGCATGTGAGCCAGAGGTTGAGGCCCACAGACTAGGTGCCCTGATGGGTATCTACGCGCAAGGCATAGGAGATGAGGCTAGAACGCCCGCCCAACTTGTAAGCCAGCCCGTGAGGCCAAGGCTTGGCATGCAGCTGCCCGTACCACATCCAGAAGGGCCCAAGGTGCTGGACACTCAAGGGAAGCTTCTAGAAGCTTGTAGGATCAGTAGGAGCCTCTTGGCAGATTTGGTTGACCTTAAAAATCAAGAGTTAGAATCCTGATTGATTGTAATCTGTGTAATCCCATGATTTTAGCCTTTATTCTAGGGATATTGTCATTAAGTGTAAGCTGAAGCCTCAACTATAAATAGAGGGCTGCTCCACCCTCATTTGTACATCATCAAACACTTCTGTTTTAGTGAATATACAACATATTCCAGCATTCTGCCTTGTTACCCTGTTTCTCTTTAACTTGTGTAATCAGCCCTTCCCATTGTTTTAGTGCCTGCACGCTTGTGTTTTAGGCTGACTTAGGCATAAAAGAGAGATTCCAAGCCTAAGGTCGCACGGATTCTGAGTCTAAGGTCGGAGCCCGTGACACATGCACATGCCTCGACCATCGTTGGGACATGTTGGCTCTTAATCTTAGCATATGG